AAGTAGATTTGAGTTTTTTGTTTTTGGTACCCCCCCAGTACCAAAGGGGCACTTGACCACTGAGCTATATCCCCAGTCCATTTTTTATTGTTTATTTTGAGATAGGGTTTTGCTAAGTTATGTAGGGCCTTGCTAAGTTGCTCAGGCTGGCTTTGAATTCATGAGACTTCTGCTTCAGCCTCTAGAGCCACTGAGATTACAGGGGTGTGCCACTGAGATTACAGGGGTCTGCCACGGAGATTCTTTAATTGTAGTTTTAAGTGACAAAATAGAGAATGATTTCCTCCATTAATTCAATAGAGGCATTTTATGGAATTCTATATTTACTCCTAAATCCACAGAGCTCCACAAAGGAGGCTCACAGAATAATCTCAAAAATATAATAAAAGTGTATTCAAGTGTTTCCTTTTTTAAATTCTACTGATAAAAGAACTAGCTTGTTACCAAGATGTCTTTTTCTATTGCAGAAGTGGTCGCTTTGGGAACTGTGGTTTCATCAGGGGTAGCCAAGTCTAAAACATCATCTTGCTGCCTGAAAAAATGATAAACACAATATTGAAAAAAATATAAAGGGCAGTTATAACATGAAACAATATTAAAAATACCAGGACTATTTTCTTTTAGTGAAAAAAAGCATTGCTAAACATTTTATAAATGGTATATATATTTATTTGGTATCATATTCCCCCCAAAATACTTTCTTCATATTCATGAAGAGACAATTGTATTGGAAGTGATTTCCAATAGCTAATTCAAAAGCCATTCCCTTTTTTCTGGCTTTTTCTCATTCTCCTTCATTACTCCAAAATCAAGCTCTCTCTGTATTTGCAAAGCAAGGTAATTTATAAATATGGGTTTTAATGGAAGCACTGATAGAAAGAACTTAAAATGCTCTTTTGCAAAAGAAACAGATATATACTTCAAAAGGAGTTTTCTCAGATTTCTAGAGAACTACAAGTTAGCAAGAAGTGACATGGAAGCTCATATGTTCAGATGTATTTTTATTGGATATGTGCTCATATAATACCATTATGTTTACAACTATAATATAATAGAAAATCTATGCCAAGATATGAGCCACATTTTGTGATTTTTTTCTGGGGCTCCAGAAAGGCATAATTCACATCCTCAAGAAAAATAAGTTTTTCTGGAATAGCATTAACCTGCTTAGCATCAGGTATATCATTCTCTAGATCTCAAGTTTGTCTGAGATGGATCCAAGGCAGTGATGCTGTATTAAAAAAAAAAATCTTCCCACTAACAATCTGGTGAATGGAGACTGGAGGTTACAGAATACCCAAGCTATCAAACTAAAGAATAGAATGAACCTTTTAATTTATCTGTTGCAAATCCAGGAATCCTGTGTGTGTGTGTGTGTGTGTGTGTGTGTGTGTGTGTGTGTAATTTTACCCTTATTCTTTTAAATTATATGAGCAAAAAAAAGTCAAGTCTTTGGGTGATTGTTCGGTTTAATTCAATACATCACAGGTGCTCAAAAAATGTTTATCAAGTGAGGGAATGTGAACATTAAAAGTACCTTGAGATCTTCAAGGTATTCAGTAGTTAGAAGAGAAGAATTGCTGATTGCACAGAAAAGAGGAACTAATACAACAGTAAGATTCCAGGCATCAGGAAATCTGGATTCACACTCTACTATTATAAAGTTTTTGGGGTTTTTTATGAATTTTAATACCTGCTGGGTTTTTAAATGGTAGAAATGTTCATATTACTTACCTTGATGATTCCTGAGCATCAAACATACTTCATCAACTATGCAAATAATGCAGAAAGACCAGGGAAAGGGAAGAGGAAAAACACTAGATTTGTATGATCTGCTGCAGAAATTCTTGTAGTCAGGGTAAAGATTCTTTCAACTCTACAACTCTATGACTCTTTCATTCTAAGGTTATTGTCAAGATTCTGCTCATGGGAAACAATGAAAAGAAAAGCTTTTTCTTGATCACATATTTCAGGCTTTCAACATTTTCTCATATATTATCTCTCACATCCATTGTTAAAATAACAATGACATAATTATCCTCACTTCACAAGAAACTGAATGTCATGGAGATTAAATGACTACCTCTTGGTCATACAGCTAATTAAGTACGAAAATAAGGATTTGCTCAACAATATATACCTCCAAACAGCCATGCTCTTTCCAATAGAACAACATTCCAATTAGAAATAAAACAAGCAATACAGGAGATACTCAAGTTGGTTAAAGATAAAGTAGGATATACTTTATATCTCAAAGATGAAAATAAAAATATTGATTTTCTTCTTCTTTATAAAAATTAATCAAGACTTTTGGTTCAAGAAGATAGCATGAATGTACCTTTTTTCAGTTTCACCCTGAAAATGGTAGTAAAATGATTTTAACCCATAATTGAGAAGAGATTTAGAAGTGATCAGTTGAAGGAATATTTCTGGAACATGAAAAGAAGCAGAGGATAGAAAAAATCATTTAAGATACCGTAGTCATGCAGGAAGGAAAGCTGTCTGCCTGCAGACCCTCAAAAGGCCCTGGTCTTGGAGTCAGCAGGAATCCAGGCAAGAAATGAGTAGGAAGAATGAAAACCAGGAGGTTATCTGAATAGCTAGCTAATGCCAGTAAATTAGGCAATGTAATGCAAAGGAACACGTTCCCAAAGGCAACAAACATGACTAAAAAAGACAGGGAAAGTAGGAACAGATCTCTATCAAGTAAACTGATTAATAATTAATAAATTTCCCATAAAGAAACATTCAGGTCCAAATGTCTTCATTAATGAATTCTATCAAACAAGGAAGAAATACCAATTCCACACAAACTCAGAAAATAGAAAAGGTCAGAACACTTTACCAATTCATTTTGTGGGACCAATAGAAACCTGATCTCAAAGACATGACAATAAAATTACAGGCCCATATTATTCACAAATATAAATGAAAAAAATTAGCAAATAAAATTCAACAACAGATTAAAGATTATTCACAATGACTAAAAAGAATGCAAGGTTACTTTAAGATAGGAAAAGCAAATAATATAATATACCATATATTGATAGAACAAAAGCCAAAAGCCAAATGACCTTCTATCAATAGACACAGAAAAAGCATTGGACAAAAGTCTATTACCATTCATGAAAAAACTCTCAAAAAACAAGAAAGGAAACTTCCTCAACCTGATAAAAGTTATCTTCTATTTTCATTTACACATTTATTTTGTCCATGTTCCCATTTTATGTGTTCTTTTAAATTTAGTTTTTAATTTTTATTATAAATTAAAAAGTTATAGTTCTATCTATTTGGGGGTAAAAGTGTGTAATATATAAATCAAGCCAAGTAACATATTCATCATCTCAAGTACTTACTTTTTGTAGTGAGCACACTTGAAGTTTACTCTTCTTTCAGTGATTTTGAAATGGACATTATATTATTATCTACCATATTTGCCACACTATGTAAAGATTCTCAAAGGAAAAAAAAATCTCTCCTCCTGCCTAATTGAAACGTTGTATCCTTTGACCACCATCTCCCCATTTCCCACTTGGTAACCATGATTCTATTCTCTGCTTCATGAGTTCAACCATTTTACATTCCACATGCAAGTGAGAACATGTGGTATCTGTCTTTCTATGACTGACTTTCGCTTAGCCAGTTCTTGAAAGCCATCTATGTAATTGTAAATTACAATTTCCTTCATTTTTAAAAGGCTGAATAGTATCCCATTGGGCACACACACGTGTGTGTGTGTATGTGTGTGTGTGTGTCACATCTTTTTATCCAATCATCTGTTGAGGGACACGTTAGTGTCTATAACTTTAGTGTCCATAACTTAGTTCTTGTGAATAGTGCTTGTTCTCAATGAACAAGAGAGTGCAAGCATTTCTTCAACATACCAATTTCAAATCTTTTGGATAAATACCCAGAAGTGGAATTGCTAGATAAATGGTAATTCTATTTTCAGTTTTTTGAGAATTTTCTATACAGTTTTCCATAATGACTATACTCATTTACACTTCCACTAATGGCATTCAAGGATCCCCTTTTCTCCACTAAGGGAATCTTAAATATTTGCAATTAACATCTCACATAATTGTGAAAGACTGAATGCTTTAACCCTCAAGACAAGGAATTCCATTCTCAGGAGTTATTTTCAATAATGAGCCAAAGAACCTAACAAGTATAAAAAGGAAAGAAAGAGAAAAGAAAAGCAACCAGATGGAAAATGAAGAAGTAAAATCATTTTTGGAGCAGACAGCATGATCATATATATTATGGTTTAGAAATGAGGTGTCCCTCAAAAGTTCATGTATGAGAAAATGCAAGAAGGTTTAGAGGTGAAATGATTGGGTTATGAAAAGTCTTAACGTTTCAATGTGATAATACCCTGATAGGAATTAACTGAGTGGTGACTATAGGCTGGTAAGGTGTGGATGGAAGAGGTCATGCCTTTGGGGTATATATTTGTTAAGTTGAGCTTAGTCTCCCTGCTTTCATGCTGAGATGTTATGAGTTGTTCTTCCCTCCACCACCCTCTTCCACCATAACTTTCCACCTCACCTCAGAGCTCCACGGAATGGTGCCAGCCTTTTATGAACTGAGATCTCTGAAACCATGAGCCACAAAATAAACTTTTCCCACTCTAATTATTCTTTTCAGATCTTTTGGTCACAGTAGTGAAAAAGCTGACAAAAACATTATATATGCATATAATGGGCTAGAAATTATAAGCACAGGAATTTGTATTAAGAAAGCTCATCTCAGTCACTGCATGCCCTCATGTCCCCTTGGAATGTGCCCTTCTGACTGGCCAATTGGCATGGCAGAAAACTCTGAGCCTCCTAAACCTGTTCACTTTCTAAAGAGATAGCCATCTTCCATCCAGTACCATGTGTTCCAGCGTGTCTGCGCTCATCATTCAAACCACTGAGAAAGAATTTTAAAAGTTCATCTTTCTTGGCCAGGGGTTCCAAGTAGAAAAAAAAAAAGTTTCTTAAGAATTTTTAGCTCGCGGCCCGGGAGCGCCGGCGTTGGCGAGCGGTGGAGGCCGGCCTGGCGGCGGCCATGGACCACTTGGTGTGGACCAGCGGCCTCCTGGAGATCAACGAGACCCTGGTGATCCAGCAGCATGGGGTGCGCATCTACGACGGTGAGGAGAAGATAAAATTTGATGCTGGGACCCTCCTCCTTAGTACACACGGACTGATTTGGAGAGATCAGAAAAATCATGAGTGCTGCATGGCCATTCCTCTGTCCCACATTGTATTCATTGAGGAACAGGCAGCTGGAATTGGGAAGAGTGCCAAAATAGTGGTTCATCTGTACCCAGCTCCTCCTACCAAAGAACCTGGCCCATTCCAGAGTAGTAAAAACTCCTATATCAAACTCTCCTTCAAAGAGCATGGCCAGATTGAGTTTTACAGGCGTTTATCAGAGGAAATGACACAAAGAAGATGGGAGAACATGCCAGTGTCTCAGTCAATACAAACAAATAGAGGACCCCAGCCAGGAAGAGTAAGAGCTGTAGGAATTGTAGGTATTGAAAGGAAACTGGAAGAAAAAAGAAAAGAAACTGACAAAAATATTTCTGAGGCCTTTGAAGACCTCAGCAAGCTAATGATCAAGGCTAAGGAAATGGTGGAGTTATCAAAATCAATTGCTAATAAAATTAAAGAGACGCAGGGTGACATCACAGAAGATGAGACCATCAGATTTAAGTCCTACTTGCTGAGCATGGGAATAGCTAACCCAGTTACCAGAGAAACCTATGGCTCAGGAACACAGTACCACATGCAGCTGGCCAAACAGCTGGCTGGAATATTGCAGGTGCCTTTAGAGGAACGAGGCGGAATAATGTCACTCACACTCACAGAGGTGTACTGTTTAGTAAACCGGGCTCGAGGAATGAAATTGCTCTCACCAGAAGATTTAGTGAATGCATGCAAGATGCTAGAAGCACTGAAATTACCTCTCAGACTCCGGGTTTTTGACAGTAGCGTCATGGTAATTGAGCTTCAGTCCCACAAGGAAGAGGAAATGGTAGCCTCGGCCCTGGAGACAGTTTCAGAAAAAGGATCCCTAACATCAGAAGAGTTTGCCAAGCTCTTGGGAATGTCTGTCCTCCTGGCCAAAGAAAGGTTACTGCTTGCAGAGAAGATGGGTCATCTTTGCCGAGATGACTCAGTGGAAGGCTTGCCGTTTTACCCAAATTTATTTATGACACAGAGCTAAGGGTTTTGTATTTGAAATACTTTTTGTCCATACTTTTATCTGGTAGATTGTGTGACACTGAGCTAAGAGATAAACCCCGATAAATTGAAGATTTATTAGAATTTCACAGAATGATATAAAACTCTTTTAATCTCTCCCTATATATTATGGTTCTGAAAACTTATTTAGGATACATAAAGGAAAATACAGAAAAATGAATGCCAATATGAATTTAAAATCATGCTATAGTTGTGCAAAATCCTCCGAGTTTAACTTGAAATACAGTAGATTTTGATTCCCAAAAGTAACCATTTAGTGAAGAAGGGAATTTAAGTCCTTGAAGGAGGAAAAAGATAAGTTGCATGTTTGGATAGGTTAGATTATTAATTTGGTATGACTAAAATTCACTGAATTATGAATGTTTTCCTCTGTGTCTGATGCATCCATTTTGGGGGGTTTTCTTGAAGGAAGTCATAGCTACAGTGCAGTTTAAGAACCTGACAACATTGGAACAAAATATCAAACTTTACTATGCCCCATGAGGCTCTTCCTAAGGGCTTTTTAAAGCAGTCATAGGCATGTCTTCGACAGACCAAACGAAACACCTTTAAAAAAGAAGAGGGCTGGGAGTGAGGCTCTGGAAGAGCTCTTGCCTAGCATGTATGAGGCCCTGGCTCATAGCTCTAGCACAGAAAAAAAAAAAATTAAGAAGAAAATCTTATTTGACTTACATTTATATTCTAAATAGGTTTTGTTGTTTGTTTTTTAAGTGATGATTTCATGGCTGGCATTTAAAGAATGCAAAACTGTGTCATTTTGCTTAAAAAATGCTGTGGATTTTGAAACTGAATTAAAGAGCTGTATAGACATGCCCAGAGTTACGATTACAAATTTGGGAGGTAGATGGCTTAGGAATTCCCTAGAATTGTTCTGCGGGTGGAAGGGCAATGGGAACCTTTAGCTAATTTCACAGGAACCTTAGTGCTGTATTACCTGAAAGCCAAGGATGGGAAGAGAAAGTGGAAAAGTGGAAAAGTAATATGCCTCCTTCTCCCTCCCTTAAGGAGTCTTAACACTGAACTTAAAAAAAAAATCTTTCTATCATATTTCAGAAATATGTATTTCTTCTTTGCCCTACACATTATAAGTTGTGTGAAGAAACTATCTTGGTAAAAGGTGTTAATACTGAGACAACAATAACTGGCCAATGTTGCCTGTAGAGTGCTTGACTTTTTAAGTAGACTGGCTGACTTCATATGTTACTGCTCTACAGTGTACAGTGTATCAGCATTACCTCCAACTCAGGGATCCCTACCGGACAGGAGACCCCTTTCTGAGACTGAGTTGGACACAGAAGAGTAGTGTTGTTTTTAGCCAATTCTCCAGGGGGGATAGTGTACGAGTGGGGAAAACCCTTGGCATCAAGAGGAGGGATGCCCAGGTGCACACTCCAGGACCTTCCTACTAGGTGAGGTAGAGGCTACTGCAAATGCCCTCTTGGGAGGTACCGAGGTCCTCAGCCACAGATAAGGGGATTCCCTACCTCTAATCCCTTCCTGAAAAGTATCTGTTGCTGCTTGGTGTTTTCCAGTGTCATGGGAATGCTGTGGCCAAGGTATCCTGCTTTAGTCTTTGTTTTCCAAACCTGTCACTGACTCTTCATTGTGGTGACAGATCCCCTAATTACCTCATTGCTCAGCCTCAGGTTTATTTTGGAAGTAATAGTGTCTGGCCACCCAAGTCTTTTAGGGGGTCAGTTGGACCATAATGTAAACTTGTTTGTACATCTCCCCTCTGGGTTGCACTCACTCTGTCTTATGGCTCTGGCAGACTTGTGTGTACATACATAAGCACACACACACACAAATCACAGTATCTTGTCTGGCTAGGGATCTTAAAAATTAACAGAGATAAATAATAATCTGTTTCACATGTTGGAGTAGTTGCAGATAAGGTTGTTGGAGCTTCTGGATCTAGTTCTAATAGTTGGGATTCATTACAGCAAGCTGATATAATTCAACATACTATTTACTTTAATGTGACAACAGATGAAAAAAATGAAACAATATGAGTTGTTGAGAGTAATCTAAAGAAAAATGAGATAAATATACTTTTCAGATGTCACATTAACTAAAGAATAAGTACAATTGATTTTATTATTTTATTTTAAAAATGGGCATTTTTCACTTTTTCCAGACCTCCATTTGTATTTTTATTTTTTGCCAAATGAGGTGTTATTTTTGTCTTTTATTGTTAGAGGTTATGTTTAGATACAACCAATCAGGCCCTAAGTGCAAAAAAGTTCTGCCTTGGTGCTTATCACTGGTATAATTATTTTTGTTCTCCTAACTTTGCTCATAGGAGCATGAATCTCTTTGTAGCTTTATGGTAATGGAGTATTTCTAGCATTCAATAAATATCACTTCCTGTCAAGAAAAATTTTTTTACATTGTATAAGTGAAGGTTGTTTTCAGGGTTAAATGACTTGATATTAATATATATATAGTAAAATGATTGCAAAATATTAAAATGATTTTCTTAAAAAAAAAAAAAGAATTTTTAGCCAAAGGCCTTCCATTGATTTGGGTGTTGATTTCACACTGGTTGTGTTATGCAAGCACACTTAAACCAAGAAAGCAGTATACGAGTGGACCTAACTGGTAATATTCTAGAGTGCCTGGCAAAAGCAAACCCAAAACTACTTTAGACAAGGCACACAGCCTCAATTCAGCTGCATAGAACTCCCATAAATACCCCTCATGCACTTTCTAAGCACTCAGTACCCACTCTCATCCCTTCAAGATGGTCACCCAGCCAGTACAGTGCCACAAGGGGAAAGTAAAACAGGGTTCCACAGGTGGGTGAGTTACCACAGTAGGTCATGAGACCATATTTGTTCCACAAGTGGTTGTACCCTGACTCGTAGTGAAACAAAAGAGGGTACCAAACAGCTTATGTGAGGCTGTGTGGGAACAAGGCAAAGAGGAACTAGTAACTTGAGTCTACAATGCTCTCCATCAAATGTTCTAAACCCCAGACCAGGTCACTCAGGCCATACTCCCATTACAGACCATTCCACCCCATTCCTTTTCTACACAAGGAAATCCAAACATCAGAGAAGTCACCATATCACCTGAGCAGACAACATGGGGGAAAACAAACTAGCCAAATTTTCCACCAGCTTCCATAGCCATAACCAGAACTCACAGAAATTTTTCTCAGCCAACGTCAACCATTAACATACATAAATTTAAAACTCATGAGGTTTAAAAGTAGGACATGCTTAATAGAGCTAAACTCAAAGTCTTTCTTTATTTATACACTGACCTCACTGCAACAAGACTTTAAGGCACAGAAATATTATATTTTTTATATTTTTAGATAAAATTTCCCAGGAACTCTAATGAGGGTAATGCATAATAGAAGTGTTACAGAACTTACATTATGACATTAACAAGAGTACTTCTAAAGTTTTCTCTTTCTTTATATGAAGATTTGCCCTTTGATTTGGAAGTAGATGGTTTAGCGTGGCCATCATCAATTTGATTCAGGATTTTGCTTTTTTTCCCAAAGTGTTCCATGTATTCACCTGGAATTAAATAAAAAAAAATATCCCTTTAGAAAGCTAGCTACAATATTTAAGTGATTAGAAAAAATGCTAAAGCACCATCCAAGAAAAAAAAAGTGCTTTAAATTCTTAAGGAACCCTAAGCTAAACTACTCTGGTTTAATATCATCATGATAGAAAACTTTGTCTATTTCAAGAATATTCAACTGATTTATCCTATTTTATTAATATAATAAACAATTTTCAATTATACTTGCATAGGATCTTTTTAAATGAACAAAATTAAACTTATGATAAAACTGAATATAAACTATTTAAGAAAATTTAAAGAATCAGAACCATAATAAAAATGCTAATATTAAATGTAATAAATCTGATAAACAATGTTTTTATTTTGTTTTGTTTCTTTGGTACTGGGGATTAAACCCTAGGGGTACTTAACTACTGAGTCAAATCCTCAGTCCTTTTTACTTTTTATTTTTGAGACAGGGTCTCACTCAGTTCCTTAGGCCTCGCTAAATTGCCGAGGCTGGCTTTGAACTCCTGGTCCTCCTGCCTCTCAGCCTCCTGAGCCGCTGGGATTACAGGTGTGTGCCATCAAGTCCAGCTGATAAGCACTATATTTCAAGGAATCAGGATAATAAAATAAAAAATTAGCAACTCAGGAGGTCAAAGCAGAGAATCACAACTTTGAGGCCAACCTCAACATCTTAGTGAAACCTTCAGCAATTTAGCAATAACCTATCTTAAAATGTTTTGTTTTTTTTTTTTAAAAAAGAGGGCAGGGGGGCTAGAGTTATAACTCCATGGTAAAGCACATCTGGATTTAACCCCCAGTTCTATTACTATTACCACTACTACGACTACTGCAACTGCTACTAACACTACTATTACTATTACTATTACTACTACTGGTAATCGTAATAATGAATTAAATGACTAATTTGGAAGTAATATTTATATCTCATTAAATCCATCTCAGAAAAAAATTTAATAGAAGGGCAATTTTTAACTACAATAAACAAAAGTTTTATGATAAACATCCCAATTCCTAAAATATCATCTCTAACAGCATTTACAATGGCCTGAAATAACTAAGAACTGAATCAATTACTTTCTGATGGAAAATATTTGGGAGTAATTTTTCTACTTGACATAAATCTCATTTAGGCTTTATAATTTGTGACTCTATTAGCTAAATGTTGTGTTTTTTCCTCTAGAAACTTTCTTAAATCTAATATAGAATATTGAAGTTCTTACCATATGACTGTTCATTTTTAATACTAAAAGTTTCTGGAATCTCATTGTCTTGCTTTATATTCAAATTAAATGAAGGGGCCGCCTGCTGCCACTGGGGCTTTGTACTCACCTAAAATATGAGATTTAAATAGCATTAATAAGCAATGTGTAGATTTTTTTTCATGAAATATGTGTTTCATAAAATGCTGACATTTTCCCAAACAAATCAGGAATGTGGGAAGGAGGTTCAAACACTCAACAGCAGATTTTACCCAAGAACACATAGTATGTGCTACTTGAGAGACATTACCAAAATCCGTGCTGCCAGTTCGATATGGATATCTGTTACCTAAAACTGAGGTGTTCATTCTGTTAATACCCAGATTTTGACAAGTATCTCTATCTTTTTAAAATTTTAACTAATACAAAAAATGACTAAAATTGTACATATCAATGGAGTACCCTATAACGTTTCAATACATACATACATTGTGTAATGTTGAAATCAGATTCAACATACCTACCTCCTCACACATTCATTTCTT